GAGTATTGTATAAAATTAGTAGTGTTCATATAATGCTTTAGCTGCAATGTTTAGCTCTTTGGAAGTTGAGATTGGTAAGGTTAGGTTTACTGCTGTAACTAATTTGGCATCTTCTGATAGGTCTGGAAGTTTTGTATAGTTGAAATTACAATAAGTTTTTGGTAATGGTGTTGAGATGCTGTATATGGATAGAATTTTTTTCAAGAATAAGTTAACTTCTTCTGCAGTTTGTAGAAGGAAAATAAGGTCTGTCATTCTTAAGTTTGTAGGGTTTTAAGGCAGTTATCTGCATAAGATAATGTAGTTATTTGGTAGTCTTGTAAATGAGTAAACTATTTGCAAAAGTCTAACATGTTCTTTGAAGTCTTCTTGGTTCTTAGATAAGAAAGAAAATTTTTCTTTTAGTCTAAGAGTTAAGTCTTGTAGAGTGGAAAGTAGTAGGCTCTTTGGTGCTAGTAGCTCAAAGTAGCTGGGAGGAATTTGTCAAAAGATGTAAAATTTCTATAAGGTTTCTTTGTATCAAGCCAGGTTTTGCAAGTCTGCTCTGCTTATAATAGAAAATATGTTGCACACTTCATCATTTAAGAGTTTATATAAGTCTAGTAGAGGTTTCTGATTATCTGCAATATATGTTTTAGGTATTTTGTCAAATAAAAACATTAATCGTAAAGTCTTGGCTACAGGTGCAATAATTTGATAATTTGTAATAGATAGGCTGAAAAGGATCATTTTCATTAAATAACTAGGAATTGAAGTAGGTTTTGGAGGTAGTAGTATTAGCATTTTATTAATAAGACTTGAAACCAATTTTTTGGTTGTTTCAAAATTTAGTTGCTATGGGATTTTTGCAAATCCTGTTAAGTAAAAGATATATCTTGTAATCTCCCATATGTTTATTAAGTTGAAGTCTAGATTAAACAAGTAATCTGTTGCTAGTTTAACTCGTAGTAGTTCGAAGATTTGGTCTTAATATTTCTTGTTTGTTGCTAGTACATTGTGTTGTTTTTTATAGATATCTAAAGCTTTTGTAAACAAATTATTAAATTCTGTTTGATGTTGTAGTCTAATTGCAATAATTCTTATAAAGCTTCTAAAAAATGCTGTATTTTTGTGAAACAATTTTGCCGTGATTGCTTTTGGAATATAACTTGTTGTTGGTTTAGTAATAAGTTTATATCTAACTAATTCTTTGATTTTATTGTAGAAGGTTAGTGCAGCTTTGATTTTTGGCTGAGTCCAAGTTGTCATGTTGAACATCTTTAGTTTATTTTGTCTAATTTCTTTTAAAGCTAACTGTGTGTGCTTGCACTATTCTTTTTCTTTGTCATTGTTGAAGCCATTTAAAGTTTTTTTATTTCTTTCTGGAAGACTTTTAGTAACTGCCTGGCTATATGATATCTTTTTTTGTGTTTGTTCCTTTACTATTGTGTCTGTTAAATGTGTTTCTACTTTTTTATCATCTATGTTTGCTATGTCTTGGTCTATTTCCATATCTGGTATTTGTTTGTTTATATTATTATTCACATATGTACTAGGTCTGGAGGCTAGTTTTGACTAGATTAGTTTGTTTATATCTACATTTTGTTCTTGTGTAGGAAGATTTGTATTAGTTGTGATAGAAGCTTGGATCAGGCTCTAGAAATTTTATAAATCTGTGAAAATATTTTTTTCTATTAGTCAGTGTAAGTCTGGGATTAGATTTGTTGTTGTTTCCATCTCTACTGATAATGTCATATCTTGAGAATTTAAGGTTAAGCTAGAATTTCCTTTTTCTTTAGAATTTTCTTCTACTCCATTTTTTCTAGTATTTGTTTAAACTGGAATAGTAGTGTTATAGTTAGTTTTTTGCTTTTTTTCTTTACTTTGTTTGCCTATTGTATTATTGCTATCAGTATATATATAAGTAGGTCATGTTTTTTTTCTTTGGGTTTCAGTCACGTGTGTTTTGTTATTATTTTTTTTATTGTTGTCATTGTTTACTTTAGTTGCTAACATAGTTGGCAACAAGGTTGTAAAGAGGACAGGAGTGCAGAAGACACTTTCTCTACTTCTTTTAATCTTTAGTAGCTTTGTTGTTGTTATTTGTTGCAAGTTATTTTTATTTATTTAGTTATATATTCTAAGTGTGCCTAGTTGCAATTTGATATTTGTTTACTATGTAAAAAATGATTTACAGGAAAGAGTTTTTGCATAAATACTAAAACTTTAGAAGTAATAAAATTTGAATGATTATCATTATGTATATTAAAGAAAAAAAAAAAAATAGTATAAGGAGTTGAGTATCTGAAATGTAATTTAATAGAAAGGTTATTATATAGATAATAATGTGAATTTGGAAGAAGTGTATAATTAGGTAGAAGTTTATGTTTTAAATTTTTATAGATATGCACAGGTTGAATGAATAAATAAAGAGTAAATAATAAGTAAATAACAGAAAAAAAAACTGCCATTATTCTATTCTATATCTGCCAAATAATGGCAGCATAACAGCAGCATAATAGCAGAATAATAGTAAAATAACAGGAGGTTTGTCAATATGAGTAACATAATAGTAACATAATAGCAAAATAATAAAACTGTTCTATTATTTTGTTATTATATTACTATTATGTTACTCATATTGACAAACCTCCTGTTATTTTACTGTTATTCTGCTATTATACTGCTATTATGCTGCCATTATTTGGCAGATATAGGGTAGAATAATGGCAGTTTGTTTTTCTGTTATTTACCTATTATTCATCCTTTATTCATTTGTTTGACCTGTGATGTGTTTTAGTAAGTGTATTATTAATAAAGATTTTAAAAGATTTGTTAAAGAAGTTATTTTTTAGATGTTGAGTAAAAGATAGTAATGTTTGTTTAGGTGGTAATATTAGGAGATTATGATTAATTAGACAGATATTGTAGCAAGGAAGGTTCTTAAAATTAGATGAATAATTGAAATTTAAGGAGTAGTAAGATGTTTCTATAAGGTCACTTACTGTTTTAAACTCAGCTTGCACAGCTACAAAAGATACTGTAGTCTTCCTAGTATATTGGACTTAATCATTATTAACTCAGTCTTTTGCATGAATAGGCTTTATTACCTACCTACTTACATTATTCTTCTTTAAAAATAGCCTACTGTTTGTAGAGTACATCATAATTATAGAAGTGGCAGCTGCTTTAATGTTACTTGCAAAAAAGTTTATTGAAAAGAAGGTTGAGAGGTAATAGGTTTAAAAAGGTCAAAGTCATTGATTTTTTTAAAAGTAATATATTTAAATTCCTTAATAATAAGAGATTCAATTTAAGAGTAATAGTCTTTATTGTATTTTTTCTAGATAAAAGAAATAGAAAGATTTGTACTATTTTGTTTAAGTATTTCAAAATAGGTAATAATTTTGGCTAGAAAATGAATGTCTGTAATTTGAGTTGTAGCTTTTTTAATAGTTTGGTCATAGCTTAAGTTGAAGATTTCATTATTTTGAGCTGCTGCTTGAAGAAAAGCTTTAAAGTATTTATAAAAGTAATAGGTTTGACAATTAATATTATAATCAGTTTTGTTAATTTCTATAAATTGTTTTTTAGCTGAATTAGTAAGTTCATGAAGAAATTTAATTGGAGTTGAAATTTTGAATGAGGCTGGATGTTCATTATCTTTGTAAAAGATTGAAAAGTTTAAAGTAGAATGAGTCCATGCTAGTTGATTAGACCTAATGGATAGACTTGATTTGTCAAAGACAGAAGTAGAAAATTTTTTGAAGGATTGATCAAAGTAATATATAGAAAGGTTTTGAAAATTATATTCAGTATTAGAAAGAAGAATTGTGCATTTGTGTTCATCAGAGTTTTTGTAAATATGAACATAAAAAAGAGCAAGTTTTCTAACTAATAGAGTGCACTTTTGAAGAAATGTAATAGATTCAATAATAAAGGATTGAGGTAATAGCTTTTTATGCTCTTGAGCATATTTAGTTGCAGTTTGATATTTAAGAAAGTTAAAAACTTTGGTTTTGATAATGTTTGAAGAATGATGTTTATAAATTTTAAAGAATTTATCAAACCAATTTTCATGAATTGCTCTATATGGTTTATGAGAAGGTATTTGAAAAGAATTTTTAAATTTTTCAGTATTAATATTAAAAGAAATATTAACATTTAACTTTTTATCATTTTGTATTTAAAAAAGAGCTTTGTTGATTAAATTATAACTAATGTTATAATGTAAAATAAGGCGAAGTAGTTGAAGATTTAGATTTTCTGCAAATTTTTTTGCATAAATAGTTTTGTAACTAAAGTTAAGAAAAAGGTGTAAATGAACAAGATTGATATCAACTTGAAGTCGATTTTGAAATGTATATAGTGGAATAGTATAATGAGATTGAAGAATTTTTTTATAATTGAGTTTTATAAAGAATATAGTAAAAAATTAAGAGAAATAAGTTTTAAGATATTAATTAAAATTTCTATAGAAATTGAAATATGAGTATTAATTTATGGATTAGTTTTATGAAATAAGTCTATCAAGAATTTAGGTTTTTGCTCTGCTATATTTTTTAATAAGTAATCAAAAAAGTATTTAAAAGTAGATTTAATATCTGAATTTTTAGAAAGAATAGTTTTTCCAGATGCAAACTGAATTAAGTTGGGTTTAAGAAACTCAAATAATTGTTAAGAAAGTGGAGTATTAAGTTTTGAATTAGGTTCTATTTCTTTTGTGACTAGAAATAATTTAAACCAGTCAAGATCTTGAGAGGTATCACATTTTTGTTGTTGAGATTTGATATTTTTTTTAGGAAATTTGGATAAAATTTCTTTAAAATTTCCAATTTTTCAGTTTTGTTAAGTAAAATAAATTTGGATATAGGTGTTATTTTCTTTTGTTCTTGAATTAGAGCTTTAGTTTAAGTGAGATAACATAATTTAATATTAATAATTCTGTAAATACAACTATGATGAAAAAGTTGAGTTCTAAAAAGAATTGCTATGATATAATCTGGTAAATGTTTGTTTTCTTAAGAAAAAACACAAGAAATATTTTTGATATTATATAAAACACATGTATGAACATGTTGAGAGTAAGGAATAGTAGTAGTTAATGTAGGATTGATATTGAATGAAAAGAAAAGAATAGTAGAATTAGGAAGTTGAATTAAAAGTTGTTTAATAATAGAAGATACAAATAGAGTATTACTGATTTTTTTAAAGTATTTAATAAAGATAATTGGAGAGATTTGTATATTAGAGAGGCCAAAAGTAGTAGGTTAAGTAATTTTATAAAAGCAAGAGATAAAATTTGTATGAAATTAACTGCATAAACATGTACCAATAGTTGGTTGAATGGGAACTTTGAAGTAATGTTATTTTTTCTTAAGATTTTTACATTAATTAGGATTAATATCCAATAGAAGAACATGAAGTGATTTGGAAGTTTTATTATTTATACCAAGTTCATAATGGGCTCTGTATTTAGACTAATAATAATTCATATTATAGTAGTCTGGTTTAGTTGTTGTAAGAGTAATCATTTTTAGAATAATTTGTTAAATAAAAGTTGTAAGTATATGATTTTATAAGAGTAGTAGGCAAGTACAGAAGTTTAAGTATACAGTATAGCTTAATATAGGTTTGTATAATTTTTGTAATAAGGTATTACAAAATTATAATTTATAATAAACTAGGATAGTGAGTGTAACTAAATATTAGTCACCAATGTAATGTAGTATTAGTACAGAATACAATTTTTGTATAAAATTAATTAGAACCAAATATGGAAAAGAATAAATTGTGTGTTAAATAAGGTTCTATTTAAGGATATATTAGTAAATTTAGTGTAAATTTAATTAAATATAAATTAAAAAATGATCTGATATTATATAAATAATATGTAAGAATGAGCAGACCAAGGTAGGGATAAAAAGTAAAAAAAAAATTTTTACAAAAGAGTAAAAATTAAATTTGACTATAATTTAGTCAATATTTGGTCAAAAATTTTCATTTAGAGCTTGTTTTAACCAAAAAAGTATACTCTACACTTTTACTTAAAAGTATACTCTACACTTTTACTTAAAAGTGTAAAGTAAGTTGCAATAATAACTTTTGTATAATAATTAAAATTGTAAATTCTGAAGGTTAAAGACTATCAGTACATTTTTCTCAACAAGTTTAAATCCTAAAGACTTAAAACTTTTAGGATAAATGTAAAATTTAGTACTAAACAAATTTACTTAAGAGTCAAAACAAGTTAACTTAGTAAAATAAATAGTTATAAACATTTTTGTACAGACAAATTTTTAGTTAAGATTTGTTTTTTTTTTTTTTTTTTTTTTTTTTTTTTAAGGTGAGGCCTTGCTTATATCTTTATTAATAA